ATCATCTAGGTCAGCCAACATTTTCACCCAGGTTATCTATGGATTAGTTCAAAAGCCACAGCTGAACTGACTGAAAGTGACAAGCCCTTTGCACTGCAAGATCAGAACTTCTGGACTTTTCCTGGTGAACTTTTATCACCATTTTAACCATGCAGTAAGACAGATCTTGGTTTTCCTTTGCATCCACAACTCACAGCTAAACAAGGAACTCCTCAAAAGTCACACTCCCATCACATGCACTCGGTGACTCACCACACCCAGAACCCATGCCAGGCACCACCCCAAAAGCTCCAAAGATTGACAGCAACGTGCTAAATCAACATCTGCCTTTTCTGTGGCTACCACTGCACTCCTTTTGAGGTTCCCTTTGCTGCTCAAATTGTGATTCAGCTCAGGCACTTACAGACTCATATGTTGGTGGGTTGGCTGGAACTGGTGGTGGATGGATGTCGGGGAAAGGCTGGTAGGTCCCCACTGGTAGGCCATTGAAGTTGTCCTGCACAGAGAGATTAGAGTCATGCACCAGAGTACTCACCTGGGATATGACACACCTACAGCTGCTACAAGGAGTCAGAGAAAGCAGCAGTCAATGATAAATGCAGGCAAGTATCCAGCCTGACAAAGTCTACACTTACTAGGAGAAGATTCTCCAGTATGAAGCAGATGCAGTCACCTGGAGCAACCAGACCCAGCTGACAGGACTGTGGGTTATTCTAAAGAACCAGCATCACTAAACACTTCATCGTTCAAGGCATTAGAAGCACCAGGACAAAAAGGGTAACACCCTGCCTTAAGCACACCTGAGCCACTTCTGCATGCAGCATCACAGAACAGGAGGGAGGCCGCTGGCTCACTCCAGCTTTATATTACCCTCACCTCAAAGACCTGGCCTTGGCACAAGGCCTCAGCATATTTATGCCTGGGCCTTCAGCCAGCTCAAGACAGTTGGCCCAGATTTTCCACCAAAAGCACTGCAGCACCGCTGGGACCATGTTAAGACTCCAAGCCAGCCCACTGTTCTGCCAGTCTCCAGTCTACACACGTCCTGCCTGTGAATTCAGAGAACAGGGCCCTTCCCAACTCCTACCCTCCCAACAAATCACCTCCAATAGCACTGCCCCTCTCTTTGCAGGGCACTGCTGCATTTCCCTGTGCTGTTCCCACTCCACAAATTCACCTGATTTCCCTGACTGGATCTTGGCACACTACCAGCCAAGCAACTTCAAAAGACAGCTCCAACCCCTGGTCAAAAGCCTGACAGTCAGAAGATTGCCTCAGGAGCTAAGTCAGGACTTTGCTCCTAAAGGCAGAGGATTGGCTAGAGAACAGGGGTAGGAGCCTCCACAGTCAGGAAGCAGGAAGAAGCTACAGCTGCACTGCCAACTATTTCCACCCCACGCAGTCTCACAGCAGCACACTGGTGTTCTGACACATCCAGCCATCCCACCCAGCAGGCACAGGGCTAAGCACCACGACTGGAGTCCTCCACAGAAAAAGAGAATCACAGAATTGTCATGGTTGGAAAGGACCTCTGAGATCACAGAGTCCAACCATCAACACAAAGAAAACCCAGACAAAGACAAACAGCCACACAGTCCACCAAAAAAACCCCAACTCCGCCACTAGAACATGCTCTGAAGTGCCACATCTACACATTTCTTGAATACCTACAAGGATGGTGACCCAACCACCTCTCTGGGCAGGCTGCTCCATTCTGATCACTCTTTCAGTAAAGAAATTCTCCCTGATATCCAATCTGAACTGTTCCAGCTGCAACTTCAGGCCATTTCCTCTGGTCCTGTCGTTGTTCACTTGGGAGAAGAAGTTAACACCCACCTCCCTACAACCTCCTTCCAGGGAGTTGTAGAGGGCAATGAGGTTTCCTGTTAGCCTCTTCTGCAAACAAAACATCCCCAGTTCCCTCAGCCCCTTGTCATATGACTTGCTCTTTAGACCCTTCCCCAACTTGGTCACTCTCCTCCAGAGGAGGAGAGCCCCATGCTCCAGCCCCTCAACATCCTTCTTGCACTGAGGGGCCCAGAGCTGCACACAGACCTCAAGGTGCAGCCTCACCAGTGCCCAGCACAGGGCACCATCACTGCCCTGCTCCCACTGGTCACACTATTCCTGATACAGACCAGGATGCTGAGACCTTCTTGGCCACCTGAGCACATGCTGGCTCATGTTTATCTGGCTGTCAGCAAGCACCCCCAGGTCCTTTCCTGCTGGGCAGCTCTCCAGCCACTCCTCCCCAAGCCTGTCACGTTGCCTGGGGTTGTTGTGACTGAAATGCAGGACCAGACACTTGGCCTTGTTAAACCTCATACTGCTGGCCGTGGCCCATTGATCCAGCCTGCCCAAGTCCCTCTGCAGAGCCTTCCTACCCTCTAGCAGATCAACACTCCTGCCCAATTTGGTGTCATCTGCAAACTGACTGAGGGTGCACTTGATCCCCTCATCCAGATCATCGATAGACACTCAACAAGACTGGCCCAAACACTGAGCCCTGAGGGACACCACTGGTCACCGGCCCCAGCTGGAATTGACCCTGTTTACCACAACTTTCTGGGCCCGACCATCCAGCCAGTTTTGTACCCAGAGGAGATAACACTTGTCCATGCCATGATTCGCCAGCTTCTCCAGGAGATACTGTGGGAGACAGTGTCAAAGGCCTTAGCAAAGTCCAGGTAGACAACATCCACAGCCTTCTCCTCATCCAACAGGCGGGTCACATAGTCATAGAAAGAGATCAGGTTGGTCAAGCAATCTCCCCCTTTCATAAACCCATGCTGGCTGGCCCTGATCTCCTGGCTGCCCTGCACTTGGCATGTGAGCTCACTTGAGCCTCTACATGATCTTTCCCAGTACCAAGGTCAGGCTGACAGGCCTGTAGTTCCCCAGATCCTCCTTCCTGCTCAAAGCAGAGGCACTTACCGGTCCCTTGGGAGGTGGGTAGGAGAAGGGTGGATTTGGTGTTGGCATGGGCATAGGCATCATCACTGGCATGGGTACTAGTCCATCATGGGGAACCATTGGGGCTGTGAATCCACCTCCTCCTCCAGGGCCACCCTTCTTCACATCGTCTGTGAATCCCACATCAATCAGAACTGCCTCTTCGCCTGCAGGAGCTTCAGCCTGGAAAGGGTGGAAGAATTCTGCTCAACAAAACATCTCCATTCTGATCACAGCCCTCTGAACAGTGCTGGATGCAGCATTTGTCACTAGACAAGATGGGACAAGGCAACAAGGACAGAACAAACAGCAGCTGCAGCGATATGGGAATCAGAAAGGGAACTCAGACCACAGATGCCTACCTACAGCCCGTGCTGCAGGGCTGTGGCAAGGAGCAGGGATCACACTGTGCCAGGGCTGTCAAGAAGATACCAAAGCACAATTATCACTAAGTGTGCTGCAATGCCACCAGCCTGAGCTCTGAAGGCCTGCACAGCACCAACGGGACATTCTGGCCACTGAACACAGAGGGAGCTGCAAACGTGCAGGGCCTCACTCACCATCACCACCGAGTCGGGCTCGTAAGGCACATTGTAGTTCTTAGCAATCTCAATGAGGTATCGCTCCACCAGGATCTTGGGTGGTGCCTCGACACTCAGCTTGTGCATCAGCTGGAACACAAGGGTGCAGACACTCAGCAGGCTGGGGCAGAGCAGCATTCAGAGCTCTGCCCCACCATGGGGGCAGTCTCAGGGAGGCCTTTCCTCCCAGCATGGAGCTGCTGCAGCCACAGGCTGGGCTCTTCTCTGCCCCAGCCAGCACCTCAGGCCCTACTGCCACCCACCCCAGCACCCACTGTGCTCCAATGCAGGCCCCACAGCACTGCTGGTCCACCCTGCTCCGCGGGGAGCCACAGGCATCAGCCACTGGCCACAGGGAGAAGGGGCAGAAAGCCTCAGCAGGCGTGCCTGCTCTGCTGGCTCCAGCTGTTCCACCAGTTCATTACCCTGTCATTGACTGTCCCGATCTGGTTTGTCCGGCACAGCTTCCCGTACTCCTTGCTGTACTTGGCACACAGCTGGTCAGCAACCTGCAGCAGGAGAAACTCTGGGAATGGGCACACTCAGGCTTTGCCCCTCCACACCACATGTCTGCTGTAGCCCCTACAGCTGCCCACCTCCCCCACCCCTGTTCCCAGATCACCCTCATTTTTGCCGCAGCTGCTCCAGCTGAGCAGCCTGAGCCATCCCCAGTGCTCCAGAGACACCTGTACTGGGCTCTCCATCTGCAGAACCCATAAAAACTTCTCTGCCTTGAGGACAGAGCCCAGAACAAAGGTTGCCACCAGCCCCTGGCAGTGTCACCCCACCCTGCACACCTCCCACTGCCAAACAACCCTACTCACAATCTTCAACTCAGCCACTTCTGACTGGAGCCGTGGTGCAGCCCAAATCAGTGTAGACACTGCTTCTGCCAGGCCAGAGTCCAGCTCCCTAAGGACATCAGAAGACAATGCTATCTCCACACCCAGCACCTCATCCTTGCTGCCCTCAATCTGCTTAGCCTCAAAGTCCTTATCTTCCGTGCTGGGCTCCAGAGACTTCCTTGCTTGAGGAAGGATAGCACTCTGGAGGCCTTAAAACACTGAGACAAAGAGGTGCCCTTCTGCACCCCAAGCCTGTCCTTGCAGTGTCCCCTGTGAGCCCCGGGGGCCTGGGCTCTCTCCCATAGCACACCCTCCAGGGCAGAACTTACTTCATGGACTGGATCAAGCCAAAGCGGGCGAGCAGCAGGTCACAGTACAGCTCCAGGATCTCCATGGCCTCCACAAGGTAGTCTTCACGGATGATGTGCTCCACGCGAATCCTGGCACGCTCATCTTTCCCAGCTGCCAGATAATCTGCAATCTCCTTCCTCGCCTTCTGGGCCAACTCAGCTAGAGCACACATCCCCAAGGGCAGTCACTGTGCTGGCCAGGGCTGCTGCCTCCACACCCACCCTCAGTGCCCACCACACACAAAGCCACCATAAGCTGCTCTCTTCTTCATCAAGCCTCTGCTGCACAACACAGCCTGGTGGAGCCCTTGTGTCTAGGTCCTGGCACACTAATTGATGGGAGAAAGGAGAGGGGGATTTGAGCTGTGAGTAGCACCCCTCCACCTTCAACTTCCCTGCAGACAGTCAGAACCATGAATGTTGCCTGTGTCTGGGCAGGGCAGGACAGCACAGAAGGGCAGAGCCTCCCAAAGCACCCAGGAAACTCCACACTGCTCTGTGGGTGCACAAGGCCCAGGAAAGGTTCCCCAGAGCCAACTGGCATGGCCTTCCTCCACAGCTACCACCTCACAGACTGCACCCCAGCACCTGCCAGGAAGGTGGACAGAGGCCACATTGTGCCCAGCCTGCTCCTCCAGGCACCTGCACACAGGGCAGGCTGCAGGGCACAGCTCCAGGAAGGAACAGCAAAAGCTGCTCCACGGCAGCCCATAGAAGTACCCTAGCCCCAGAAAAATTCTCTCCTCAAGTCTCCTGAGCCCCTAAAGCATCCTGGGTCACACCTGCTCCCTCACATACTCACTCTTCTTTTTCTCCAGCAGTTTGAGGCGATTGATGACGAGGCGCAGGTTGACCCGCAGGCGCTCAGCCTTGAACCCAGAGCCCAACATGATCAACACTTTCTGCGGGGAAAAAAAGGGGGAAGACTTTGGAACCAGGAGCTGTTGGTCACACCAGGAGCACACAGTCACTGCTCCACTTGGGGGAAAAAACATGATTTCTCCAAACAAGCAAGTACAGCCCTGCTACTCCTGAACTTGGTTATTTACAAGTGACTGGACCTACAACACTCATCGTTCTCTTTCCCACTGTACAGCCCTGCACCTAAACAAGAACAAGAGCCAACAAAACTTCCTGGATATCCCTACTCTGACAGGATGAATCTCAACCCCCAAAACATGTAAGATGATAAAAAAACTGGGACCACTCCACAAATAGGAAAAGGGTTAGAACACATACCCAAAACCAAGACGTTAAAGGCCTAAGTCTATTTAATCTAGACAAGTGGCACCAGGCACTGATGTGAACACGATTGCACAGTCAAGTTTTAAGAACTTTAAACCAAGACCTACACTGTGGTCTAGGACAACGTGACTGTGTCTCCAATCAGTAAGTTCAGCTTACTGAAATGGCATTTTGAGGTTCCGTTCAGCTCTGGATTTCTAAGATGCCCAAGCAGAGAAACCCCTCAGATTTCACAACAGCACAGCTGCTGGAAGATGTGCTTTCATTCATTCTGAGAGGGGAGGGAAGTAAATCAGTGCCTCAAGATGCCATCTGCAACAATCATCACACAGTCAAGTCCTCTCTGTTACTTCACTGATAAACCCATATTTTTAAAGAAACGTGAAGCTGCAAGAACTAAGCTAACCTCTGTCCTATTACCATGTGTGTCGTAAAGCAGCTGTACGACTACGCAAAGGGCTGTACCAGCTAAGTCCTGTCCTCAGACAGAAGAAGTTGCCATTCCGTACCCCACACCCTGCTCCTGCTCCCTGACCCGCACTGCTGCTCTGCCCAGACCGACGTTAACCCTCACCCGACAGCAGCGCGCCCGGCGCTGGGGCGGTTTCCAGCCGCATTAGTCACCTCGCGGGAGCCGCCCCGCAGCCGCCCCACGGC